CGAGAAAGCCAAGTGCAAAAAATGAATAATGGCGCACATCAGCAACACTATTTTTTACGATATTACCCATCTAATTTTGCTGCTACTCGAATAAATAAGACGTACCATAAAAACTTTGGCAAGAAATTAAATACACAAATAACTTTATGTTTGTTCAATGCCAAGAACATGACTCCAAATTTATGACTGCAATTGTTATGTAGTCTACCACGTATTTTTCCTGCGACTTTTTAATCAGATAAAAGGGCTTATACTGTGCAGATTATCCACGCTTTTTTCAGTTACGTCATAAATATAAATAAATAATCGCGACCTTAAAAAAATTCACTTGAAATATGTTATTACGAGAACTAAACACCCACCATGTGTGTAACCATGATTAAATATGGAAAAATTCTTCAATGAGCACAAACAAAAACATTACTGCTTAACAAAATATTTAAATGTTGTTCTAAAAGTAAAGTTTTACGACTCTATTTACCTCCCTTCAAATAAATTTTATTTTCACCCAGTTAAACAAATACAAGCATGATTGATGAACGCAAACAGGCTACCTATTTTCATAATAAACTTAACGAAACAATGTGTATTTTTAAACAGGGAAAGTTTCCGTAAACCACCTGTCGGTTTATTTTTTATGAGAGACTTAACCTCAAAAGGCCGCACGGAAATATGGATTTTTACGACAGGAAGTCCACCTTGGTGGATTGAGTGCAGAGAAACAAGGAAACATTAATGTTGTGTTTTGAAATGTTGATACAGTGCGCCATTTTTTTTTTGTCATAAAATAGTTGGCAGTTTTTCGTTGCTTATTTAAAAATAAACGTCAGAAACTTGTACTTCGAAAACTGAAATTTTTAGCACATATTGCTATTAAAATTAAGTTCAACAAACAAGAGATTAATTTCAATATTTACAACTTAACACACCAATGACGACACCTCTGTCTTCTATTACATTACCAAAGCACACACACACTAAATACTTTTGACAATTTTGAGACATGTAATTTTTTTTCAATATTCACATTCTTCTTTTTTGTTTACAATTTACACAATATTAAGAATACTAATCACGTATTTCACAACAATGCTGAATATAGTTTGTGAAAAATTCTTCAGTCTGAACTTCAACAGCCACCCAACATATGAATCAAATTTTACCTTCACCGCGCGAAAACGACTTTGAAGAAACAATTCTTTCCCATTAAACCTTCAACAATTGTGCCTTTATATATATTATTACCGTCGTACCCACCGTGAAATAGCTAATAAATTTTTTTATCAATATAATCGCACTTCAACGAAACTTTAAACCTAACAATGCCACAAATTAGCAATTACATTAGTTCTCTTTGTGGCTTGAAAAGAAAGTATGCATAAGATTAACTGTTCACTTTAAATTTAATATCCCGTGATTTTACACGCTTTAAATGCACAATGCACCGACAAATAACGTCTGTACAGTCAGTACGCCGTTGCTTACCGTTGCACATTAGTGGTCAGAAAAATACTTAAGTTTTTAAAACCACAGGCACATCACAAAGTGATCAAAATAACACAAATTTAACTTCTTAGCACAGGTTTATTACAACCACAAAATCAACAATTTTCTTTTTTCACTTTTCTATCGGTAAACAAAGCAATCACTTTCCCATAAAAATCATTTGCATTTCACGGGAAAAATAATTTTCTGGAATAAATTTAAAAATAAACCTGACACGTTTTCCATTAATAAAGGGTAAAACTTCGTTTTCATGTTATAGCCTATTTGACTGTTATGGAGGGATGTGATTATTATGGCTATATAAAGCTATTTCTAATTTGGAACGGGATATTTCGAATGATTCCTTGAGAACTGAAGGAATTGAAATGACGTCGATGCGATTTGGGTCACAATAATACGATAATTTAGTTGTGCCCTCGAACAGAGGCGTTCGTTATTATTTCTTTTATTATGTAATAACACTGAAAACGTATGTACTAGGGGAAAATGAAATGAAACAAAGTATTTATCGATGCATGTTATGCTATTCGCCTCAATTTTGCATTTCCAATTTGTATCATCCTGTTTTAATATGGCAGATCCATTAAAAAAAAGTACAATCATAATTTTCCGCACTGGTGAACTTTATACAATAATTCATTGATACGATACATGTGGGCGGGTTAATATTATGCAATCTCAAACAGGTATACGTACTGCTGTGTACTGTGTAAATAACAAAAATAGAACAGAAAATTTAATTTTATTGTCACATGTGTAAATACCGTATGAAAATGCATCCACAACTGTAACACCTGTCAATTTAGGTTTGGCAAAATATTACTCTATAAATATACCAAAAATTTGGCAGTCAGTCCAGTAGTTTTAGAGAATATTTGTCTCTTAAAAATCGATACAGACGACAGAAACAGGGACCAATTTTTCCATACTTTCATGAAACGTCGAGAAAACATGAAGGTAGCCGTTCGTCGGATGGACCCTAAATTACATTCGGGAAGTAAAAAAATTCGCGAGTGCATGGCAACAACACAAAACTCTTTTTATTGAACCCTTTGTTACTCACAACCCCTTTATGTATTTGGCACGCCTCCAAAAGCATGGTGAATGTTGGCAATGACAACACCTGGGTCCAAAATTTGAAGGGTGGGTAAAAACCGAACAAAATAAAAAGTGTCTCGTTCCGTTGTAACTTTACATAAATTTAAAGTCGCGGTGCTTTCTAAAACTGAAAGCAAATACTAAGTTATTCAATATGATATTTTTCTTTAATTTAAACACAACAAACTGGCCAACCCCTATAATTTATATTAAACTTTCACAAAGTACGCAAGAATTTTTAGGTTCATATTTCTAATTGCGTACACCTCATTTCATTTTATAGGTTCTAGTTTCGCTTGTTTAAACCACAATACTGTGCACAAAAAACGTACGTTGACCTACTACTATCGTAATTTAATCTTTTGGTTCTTACGGAAGCTTTGTAAAATCACGCATTTTCCCACAACCTCTTTTATTGCTCACCACTTGCATGTCAAAACCGGAAAAATTAAAAAATAAATTTCAAACTTTCCGAGATTCCTACTCAATTATCTAATTTATAGAATTTGCAGACATTTGATTCGAAATTTTAATTTGTTTTTCAAAAGAAAAAAATATATATAGACCAGTCAGTTGCCCATTACGACGCTCTAATCAACCTAATGAGCGGTTGCTCGGCGTTCCACACACAATTTTGATTTTTTTTTACGAACATCTGGAAACCTAGGATAAAAAAAATCAAGGTGGATTTATAAACTACAAGTACGGGAGTACGTTATTTTATTAAATTCAAATAGTATTACTATGCAAAATTTTGGGGGAAGATCATCAGAATGTTGGTAGGGAGATGAAACAAACTTTATTTAACATTTTACGATCTACACAGTATTCTTAAAATACAATTTGACAACGATCAGGAAAGTAGTTTCGGAGATTATCTGATTAACAAAAATCGACACTGACGACAGACACACATACTACCGAGCATACGCTTAGGAAGTAAAAATTCTATTTTTTGTAACCTACATTATTTATTTTAAATGTTTAAAATTTATTAAATTATGATAAAAGCGCACGCCACACAGCACATTTAAGATGCGATTTTTCTTGAAATATTCTAGAATAACGTCACCAATTTTTTTTAAGCCCAGGAATGAAAGAAATTCGGTTAGTGTTTAAAGTTAGTAAAAAATAATCCTCTATCAGAAACCCTACCCAAAAAAAAAAAAAATAATTACCTACCCATCCATTATATATTTGACGAAACAGTAAAAATTACAGTATAAAAATAACTTTTTTTTTTATTTCCCAGTCCTAACACACTATGAAACAAGCGTTTGAGAAAAAAAATATGTGTTGATGCAAAATAATTTAACTATGGATTAAATCGTCACCTAAAACAAACAACTTAGCATTATGATAATGATAATTTACAGTCCTGATCCCCTCTACCATTGCTTGCCTGAAAGGAACAAAGGTTCTATGAATCAGATGTGCTTGAACACATTTTACGTCAAGGATGTCCGATTCGGACAAGCAATTCAGAAACAGGCAAATCATCAACATTAAGCAGTTTATTGGGAGCTGTCAATAAACACTTTGGAAACAGAAAGTCAATATTCACTACTAAGTGGGCTCTACTTTAAAACATATACATGCCATTTTTTTCTTTCTTTCAAAAGCAAATTTTCCATTCTCATTATTTTCAAGGAGTCGATTTAATATGACTTGATTAACAACATTTAATAGCGGCAAAACATTAATTTTAATAGTAAGGGCTTGAGAAAAGGTATGTGGCGCATAGCGTGTGGTGAATATTTAATATATTTAGCAACCGTGTGCTGACTAAATAATGAAAATCTTTCTGATATAAAGAAAGTCACCCGTTTTCATTTGGAAGTTTTCGATATTTGGAAACGTTTGAATAAGAAAAACTTTACAGGAAGTCAGTATTTGCATCAACGAATGACATTACACCCCAGAGTAACTTTTCATTTTCGCCATTTCTGCTTCACGACAGTAGATAAATAAAAGCCGTCCCTGATTGCAGACTTAGCTATACCACTTCCGGTTAAACCGGAAGTGAAAAAACTCAAGAAAAAGTAAATCCCACACCCCAACAAAAAAAAACATCCTATTTATCCTGATCTCAATCGATACAGTAGGCTGCGGTTTTACACCTCAAACTAGAACCAAAGCCTACTACAACAAAACCAGTGGAACCTCCCCACAACAAATCAATTCTACGCCACTGACTCATTCTTAAAAAGCGAAACCGCATTTTCTCCACGTTACCCTGTAACTCTGCCAAGAAATGACAGGTGCCATCCCACAACACCCACCAACGTCTTAACAAGTGGACGTCGGTGTTTACGTCTTTCGTTAATAAAACGATTTCCGAAATAAACTGCCGTGTCAACGGGGCCCCAATAACACTATAAGATTAAAGCACTTACCATCTAAGACTAACCGTCGTCACGAACAACGCAGGCACAAGAATAAAAGTCAAAGTCAACGCGAAATAAAGGCCGTAGCTGTACAACGAATAATAATACAACAAAACACATGTCAGAACCAAATCCAACACATAGGTTATAATCGATAAGGCAATACAGATCACGTAGAAGACGTCGAAATTCTGGCCACTCTCCGAGAACTTATCCGGCGACTCCGGTTGGGGCTTCATGTGTTCGATGTTGGCCAGAGAGGGGTCCCTTGAGAAGTGCACAACCACTGGATACTCCTCTGCCATTGTACATTGTCGAAGTTACGAAGACATTCCTCAAGAATGGACGCCTCGCATTCCTACCAACTGTTACACGTCGCGCGTTACAAAACCGACTAATTTCTTGCGGTTTGTGCGGCGGGTGTTGATGTGTGCATTTTCTTTCGAATTTTTAACTACGTCACCATGAACACCGCTCCCAAGTCCCCTCCATCATGCGTAAAAAAGAGATACAACCAGCGACTGACAGTTCATTTCGTTGATCTAGAGAATTTGATGCCGGCAGGTGGCAGTACTGCGTCTGCGCGTTACAGACAGGGCCGGCTCAACGATGTTCGGGCCCGTTTGCCTTTGAGTGTTTTTTTATTGTTTTACACTCGGTTATCACTTTTGATTGATGAAGAATGTGCTGATGGTGGCGTTTTTTAATGGAGAGAATAACTGTAGTTGATGTTTAGCACTCATTTGACCTCTCATTGACCTGACAATTTATTCTTTTGTGTCATTCGTATCAGAGTAATGATCGAATCAATCATTTGAATAAATTAAGGAAATGTTCGTGAATGTCTGACGTAAATGTCTCGTTATAAGCGGGGTTTTTATATGGGGTGAACGGTCGGATTATTTATGAAAATTTTACTACTTCGTTACTACTTTTTTTTTTTGTTTAAGGGTAGGGTAATATGTAGGGTTTCTACAATAATAGTTTAGTGCATTCGAGGGTTACACATTTGTGGCATTTATTATGGACTTTGGGGTCCTGTCTCTCATACATCTCCATGTTTTATTTAATTATTGAAAAAATGTGGATTTTTCGCAAATATCAGTTTTGGTTAGCCATTTAAATTTTGACATAATTTCAAAGGATTTACTTTTATCTTCCCGAGATCTCAAATGATGTGCAAAATTTCAGAACAATGGGTGCAATAATTTTTAGGATAAATTGTAAAATTTCATGTTACCATTTTGGGTTTTTTTTAGTCTGCCTCTGGGTGTTGTGTATGTCCTGTTCCCCTGTAATTGTGCCTCTGGCCTGTTGGGGAACATAATAGAATAAAATAAAATAAGGTTAAAAATATGACTCAGTGCGCTAATAAACTACTACAGTTTTTAAAAATTTGGAAAAATCTCATGGGATCCTTTGTAAACATGTTGGTTTTGAAAATATTTGAAAAAGTGCCGGTTCGCCTAGTGTTTTTTTTTTGAAAGAGTTTGAATCTTAACACGTTAACCGCCAACACAAATTTCTGAAATTTTCGTGTTGGGCCAAGTTTTGTTTTAATGATTTTGAAACTTTTTTTGGTTTTTACTGTTAAAAATAGCATTGGAAAATATTCGAATGACTTTTTTTAATTCAAAATTAGACAAAAAATACAGCGGTCCCTAGGGACCTCTGCGGCCCCGCGGCATTTTCATATTTTCCAAGCACGAGCGGTCCATGCGGCGGTCCTGTTTGAACTTGCATTTTGAATTCCCTTTCTTTCATTTCACTTGCTCTTACGCATTCATTTATTACTTCTTCAGAAGTTGGCAAGTTCTTTTATCGTTTTTGCAACGATAGTCGTTGTTTATAAGTAAAAAATGTCTAAGGCAGTCAGTGAATGAACAAGAAGAATTCTACAACTTACCCAACCTCCGGAGAGCGATGATGAAGGTACACATTTTAGTAATTTTTTGGACGTTTTGAAAAACATATTTAATTTTAGAATTTACTGATGAAGACCTTGAAGACCCGTATTCCTCCGATTCGTTGGCAGATCCTGACTATAGTGTGGATTCAATGCAAATTAGTTAAGTTTTGTTTTGTGTGGAAATATGTTTTTTAATTTTTTTCTACCAAAGAATGTTAAATTTGTTTTATTCCAAAATAAAAATTACAATTTACATGTTCAACAATTTTATTCCATGGCTACCATATACTAACATTTATTAAAAAAAAATAATTGAAAATTATTATGATCAGTCAAGTTTAGTGGACCAAGCGGTCCATCCTATGCGACTGTATGCTCCAAATGAGCGGTCCGTTGGCCTGCAGTTGAGAAAAAGTAAATTTGAAGGTAGCGGTCCCTGGGAACCGCCGCGGCCCCAAGGACATGGCGCATAGCGGTCGCTAGGGACCGACATGGCGTTAAACGTGTTGGACCATTACTCTTTTTTTTTAATTTCTAGTTTGAAAAAATTTTGGGGGAGGCTAGTGTTTTTTTTATTATTAAGTGTCGCCCTTCTTTTGCTTTCAAAAAGTCTACGAATCTTCGGCTTATTTTTGATGAAATTTTAAAAAACTTTGAAGACCCCTGGTGTTTTATGTAACGTTTTGTTTAAATAACTTTAAATCAATATTTTAAGTTTAAAAATTTGAACTTTGAATCACAAGTTCAAATTACAACTGCGCCCAAATTGGTGCGATCTCATATTTCAGGAAAATGTGACCTCTGAGGTCAACTAAAGTTTGAATTTTTAGGTGTAGTTCAATTAACGTTAGTTTGTTTATATTTTTAAATCACACTAACGCACTTACGTATAGATGTCATGCTGTATTTTCCAGAATGTTGGGAACTACCACCTATATCGTTAAAAAATTACCAACTGAAAAAGTTAAACAACTGAGTGAAAAGCTGTAGATTACAGACTAGCAACCGTATGTATAGCTTTTTCACATTTTATGAAAATATGACCCATGTAAGAAAATTATTTACGACATCTGTATACTAACTTTTGTCAAATTTGAGTTTTCCTTTTTACCACTATATTTTGAATAATAAAAACAAATTCTCAATAATAAACTTATACCACCCGACTATTATTTTTCTGTATTCCACAAATATCTAGCAATAATTCTTTTAGTCACAAATAAAATAACTACGATCAAAGAAAATTAAAAATACCGCTTTTCAACACAAATAATTATTGTTGAAATATTTATATCCCCCAAAACATTACCGTTACATCCGTCAACAACCTTGTTAACTACAAAATAAATGGCACTTCATTCCTTTTCAACACAACCATCAATTGTACAAAAAAAAAATATATTATTTACCTGGCCCAATCTTATTCACAAAAACAAAACTAATCCACTCCTGAAAAAGTTACATAAGCAATGGGGACAGTTCTATGATAAACACAGTCAAGTAACCTTGACTTTACGGTAATTTAGCTTTTTACCTGTTTTGGAATAATAATGACAAAGCACGATTTGAGACATTTACAAACAATAGGTAGCACATTTATTTAGAAGACGATGTAAAATATCAACTACATATTAACACCAGCATAGTAATAACTCAAAAATAAATTACATTAAAACAAAACTACAGGCACTTCAAACTGTTCCTGTCATTATGTTTTTCACATTCACATCAAATGACCTGAAAATATATACACAAAATAAAAATGTTTGTGTTTAGGGCAAGCCAGTACTTACTTTGAACATATAGCGTCTCCGGGAATGTAAAAAGGATTGCACACAATATCTGCATACTCAGAATGGAGTTTCCTAAACATCTACAAAAACAATTTTTGAAGTGATAACCAATAGCAGTTAAGTTAACTGCGCACGTGACACTATTCGAACAGTTCCGACTTACCGATCTAATTTCATTATCACGTAATGCCATATTTGTAGAATCCACAACTATTATAAATTTAATTTTGGTGTTCGTGACATACCCGTATCTGAAATGACCTTTTTTAATACTTCTGCGACTCTAGTAAGTAAAACATCATGTACATTTTATGTGTCTCCAGAGAATATAACATCCCTAAATACAATTCCCTGAGATCATTCGTTCCTTTATTCGTCGTGTTCAACTTTTCCTCAACGACATCTAACGACGACAAGACCTTGTACTGAAAACCCAGCTCCTCGTCCGGATTTAAACAACAAAAATATTTCGGCGAATTCTGCAACACGACAGCACTACTTTATTGCGCGGTGCATCTATGAGGCGTTGTTGTTGCGTTTGACACTCGACAAACAGGTTGATTTAGAAGGATTTTGTTGTAATAAAATGACAATTTCACCAAAACAAACAGTGTGAGAGATACAATTTGCTACTCGTGGGAGTGTAAAGGTAAGAAATAATTTTCCATTGTGTAAATAAACTTACATCTTTCCCAATTATTGCCACGCAGACCGCCATGTTTATTCACGTCATTTGAAGAAAGAGTGTACCAGCATGATAAAGTAGTCATTGCCTCGTAGACGAAAGCACCCTCTAACTCAGGATGGCGGAAAGAATTGAGGAGATCCGATCTGTTCGCAACACAGATAAAGCCTATGTACGTTTTGTGAATTGCACACAACGTACTGTAGAATTAATTTGGGCTAATTTTACTGGGAAAAATATTGTTTATCAGGTGCTGGAGCAAGGACAGTTCGTTGATGTGAATACATTTAAGAAGCATCCGTGGATAGTTTTGGATAAAGTTACTAAAGACAGATTACATATCGAAGGACAGTTTGTTTATTATCCTAAAACTGCTAAGGAATATTTACACGAAAGGTTCCCTACTCGACAATTTCCACCGGACTTCAACGTCAGAGTTCAAGCCACCATAACACTACCAGTGTATAGTTTGAAATACAGATGTATGCTTGCAATTAGAAATAGATGCAAACTACCAAAAGACGTAGAACGGTTGGAATTACCAATAGGAATAATTGAGGATCTCAAGAGGTCCATTGCGTACAGAAATGGTCAAATGTTACAACCAATAATAAGGATAGTCTGATTAGTAGTTAGTGGTGATTATATTATTTTTATTTCTCTCTGTTTGTTTATACCTATATATGTATCTATATATACTATAAGAGTAAATCTAAAAAGACACAATTAAAAAAATATGTTTTATTTTCGTCACAGATTGTATAAATATGTTACATACAATATGTTCCCTTCTAACTAAAACGAATAAATCACTGGTTTTATAAATGCTCTGTGTAAATATTCATAATATGCAACTAAAACAAATGCATCATTGTTTATGGAACCCGTTCGGGTTTTGCTTCTGCCACCGCCACGTGTCGACACACATCTCGTCTAAGCCTCGCGTAGCGACCCATTGAAGTTCTTTTTTTGCCAGACTTGGGTCTGCGTAGCTACTGGCAATATCGCCCTCTCTTCTAGGTGCAAATTCGTACTTAATTTTGCCTCCACAAGCTTTGCTAAATGCGTTGACTAAGTCTAATACTGAGTAACCCTGGCCTGTGCCTAGGTTATATGCTTTCCAGCCCTTAAAGTCCTTTTGGTTCATTTTTTCAATGGCTTTTAAATGTCCCACTGCCAAGTCCGTGATGTGGATGTAATCGCGGACTCCTGTTCCATCTTTGGTTTCGTAATCGTTGCCGAAAACGGAGAGTTTTTCTCTACGCCCTACAGCTACCTGAAAAAAAGACGATATTGAAAAAATGGTAATAATACCACTGCAAATTTTGACATCCTCATTTCGTATCAATTTGACTTGACATTTAATAAAAAAATTTAAATTACGACAAACAGCTTGTCGTGCATGGTCAACATTGACTAATTTCTTTTTCGATCTCGAGGTATGAAAATCGCCACTGGAGTTTTTTTTTTTTTGTTAGCAACTGAAATCAACAAGTGGTGTTTTTTTAATTTTAGTAAAAACTATATAGGCAACCCACATTGACACTAATTTGATATTCTATTTCATAATAAAGAAAAATTTCCAACCCAACTTCTACGTTAACTCCTCAATCCACAAACAATGATTACAAAACGCAATCGATGACATCCCTGAATCCTTGATAGACAAATTAAAATAATAATTTGATAAAATTCAATCACGTCGGTAAAGTCACTTCCTACAATGACAACTTTGACATTATCCAATCTAACCTCACTTGCGCCCCACAACTGGCACGTTCAATGGAAGACAGCAAACGCGACATCAACAAAACAAAACGCTCTCGCACCGACCACGTCAAGAACATCGTCCACTCGTACCTCCAGAAACGTAACTACGCCTCCATCGGTCTCCAGGAGAACTCGCAAATCGACCAACAACTAACCTACTCTCTCGTTGAGAGCGAAATCAGCCGGCCCAACTCCATCCTCTACAGCTGCTACAACAGCGACCCGATAGTCATCGACCACAACTTCACCAAGTTTCTCTCCTGGGTAAAAGACCTGGTCAAAAACAGGAATATCTGCCACGACATTGAACACCTAATCGCCCCGCTTTTCTGCCACTTGTACTTGGACATTTTGAAAGGGGGCCACTCCGAGCGCGCCGCCACCTTCCTCAAGGCCCATCTACCAGCCATAGATAAGTCAAAATGCGACGAGTTCGTGAAAGATTTGATAAATTTGTTCGCTAACGACTGTGACGCGACTTGCATGATTGAGCAGTTTAGGGGAAACAAATACTTTTTGGAGTTGTCGCCGCAGACGCTGAATTTATTGAAGAAGTTCGTTGTGGAGAACTGCCACGTGGTGTTCTTGCACGTGCTACAAACGTGGTTCGAGTTGCAGCAAAGAGACGAGAAGGAAAATGAGATTGAGGAGAAGATGGAGGAGAAGGGGGCGACGAATGGAGTGTGCGTCGATGATAAGTTCCAGAAGATGTTTGAAGTGATTCAAGAGTTGGAAAAGGAGCCAAAACAAATTTTTGTGATCAATATAGCATACACTAATGAGGTGATAAATTGTGGGTTGATTAGACGGGCTTGTGGGTTGGTTGTGTACAACCAGAACAACGTTATCCATTTGAGGCCCATCCATGCCTATGATCCCATCATGGGAGTTAGTGATTGCAAAGAAATTAAGTTAACTGAGCATTCAAAACGAGTTTATTCTATAACTATATCGCCAGACCATACTCGGCTGGTCACCACATCAGAAGATTCCACCTTGTGCATTTATGATTTAAGCGAAATGAGTTTGATTAAGACTTGCACAGGCCACTTAGGTCCAATTTATTGTAGTGCTATTAGCAGTAATAGTGTGTATGTGGCATCAGGCTCTCACGATAATACAGGACGTTTATGGAACATAGACACTGGACAGACCCTACGGGTGCTTGTAGGGCACACCCAAGCCGTTACCTGTGTGGATTTTCATCCCAACTGTTTGTACATAGCTACGGGTTCTGCGGATCGGAACGTGCGTCTTTGGAGTGTTGATAATGGGAGCCCGCTCCGGTTATTTCACGGTTGTAAAGGAGTAGTGTATAGCCTCGTTTTCAGTCCTTTAGGAGATGTAATAGCCACTGTGAGTGACGATAAGAAGATAAGAATTTGGGACATTTTGTCATCAAAGGTGAATAGTGAGATAAAACATAAAGGGGACCCCGTGACGAGGCTAGCTTGGAGTAAAGATGGTAAACAGTTATGCACGGGTTCAATCGATGGTGTTATCAGGGTGTGGGATTTTGACCCAAATCAAGATTCTGATAAGAATCAAGAACCCAGTTTGAATTTCAACGTCAATGGAAAAATCCTTGCTCTAGAGTACTCTTTTGACACATTTGCTTGTATAACCACTCCAGATAAAACTGTTTGAGTTGCACTTATCATTATTTTTCTTTGAATTAATACCCACCTGAGAAATATATGGCATCAAGTTATTAGGAATCCCAGATGGGTCTTCGCCAATTTGGCCTGAACTGTGGGCACCGACCGGGTTGAAATAGCGTAATAAAATCACCTTCCATTCCTGAAATATAAAAAAAAATTGATGTCAAATCATGCACTAAACGCATGATAACTTTTTACATTTTTTAAATAGTTCAAGATTAAAACAAACACTTACAGGATCTGACGTACACACGTCCTTCAAAATTTCTTCCACAAAATATTTAGTTTTCCCATATGGGTTCGTGCAATTTTGTCCTGTGGGATGCTCTTCAGTGATGGGCAAGAACTGAGGAATCCCATATACAGTAGCAGACGACGAAAAAACGACTTTCTTTACCCCATTGCTTTGCATTACCTCAAAAAGTGTACTAGATCCAGCAATATTATTCTGATAGTAAGCTAAAGGAATCTGTACTGACTCTCCCACAGCTTTCAAGGCGGCGAAATGAATGACTGCATCAATTTTATGCTACAACGAAAATAAGCAAATTGTGGTTAAAAAACAGTACTAGTACATACGCTTTTAAAAATCTTATCCAAAGCGTCCCTATTCCTAATATCCACATCATGAAAAACGATCGTTTTTTTCGTAATCTGCTCAACCCGTTTCAAAGATTCCGGCTTCTGGTTCTTCTCAGCGTAACAATTGACCAAATTATCGATAGCAATAACTGAATAATTATTTTGAAGTAATTCAACTACTGTATGAGATCCGACGTAACCGGCGCCTCCAGTTACAAGAATAGTGCCATTAGGGGCCATAATTTCATTTGTCAACCACCACCTACAAGCAGAAAATTAGTTTTTGTTAAAAACATGTCATTTTGAGGTTAGGACCCACCTTACTTTGTCACGAAGCCAATGGGTATTATCACGTAATAAACAGCCACGCTGAAATATATGGGTATAAGGCGATTTCGTAATAAAGATAGCATTGTTATCAATATTGTTATCACTAATTGGCAATTTTTAAATGATAATGTCAAATTTGACGTTTAGAGGTGACGTCGACGGCGCGTAGGCGGCCGTGACACATCCACTACATCGAATTCTTGATTCAAATAAAAAATAAAGGACGCTCCAAATCGGGAAATGTGAGTCAAAAAAGTCTCAAGTGAGGACATAGTAATCATGGGGCTAAATTTATTGTTGTTTAAAAATACAAAAAAATTCGTCTCAGTATTCGATGAAAATAGTGACAGTTCTAAAATGTAAACATTAAACATCTACATCCTACATCTGTTCACAGATTACTCTTACTTTGTTTCATGTCGTACAGTTGTTACGTCACTTTTTATTTACTTCTCAAGCATAATTTAAGTTAAGTAAATATTACTCATTTGACGAAAGATTAATTATAGGTTTCCTCGCCGATTAGAGAATTCCTTTCATTGATTAAATCAAGAATGGTTTTTCTATTTTTCTTTTGGAAATTCTGCGTACATAACACTGCTGTTATATGTATTAGTGATACATACTGTGATAACCCAAACTTCCCGCCTTAAAATTTTGACCTTGAAACAGTTTGAAAGGCCCGCGAAAAATTTAAAAATTCAAAGTTTGGCCTTGGCTGTGATCGTCTAACAAATGAGAACCTACGTTGTGTGTTTTTTTTTTTGTGGTTTTGAAAAATGGCGGGAAGAAGTTCTTTCATACAAGTGCATACACTGTCGAGAGCGCAAGAAATAATTAACAGAAATTGTTTTGGAGGGGGGGAAACGGCACCACCCTCACAGGGGGAAATACGCTGCGAAGATTTACCCCTCAGCGCAAAAACCCCCTTGGTTTTATTCCCGGACGACATTTTATTACATTTCAAAACCCTTAAGATATGTGAAAGAAAAACACTCGCGAATTGACAGACCTACACATATGAAAACCGAACAAACACAAGACCTACACATATGTAAATTGGATGGCAGAAACCGAATCATTATGAGAGTGTGGCGATCGAACAAACATAGAACAAAATATAACAATTTCATTTATGAGCACAGCAAAATACCCAGAGGGGGCGTCGTAGCGTGAGCGAAGTTTGGAGCTCCCGGTCTGGGCTGGTTTCCCCCGCGACGGTGATTCTATCTACACCAAGCCTGCCAGACAGCACCCCTCCATGACGAACATGCTGTCCAAGCAGGCCGTTTCGGCCTAAAACTAGCGGTGAAGTCTGGTCAACTACTACCTCGTCGTCAAGACCGTTCCCACTGAAATCTAGTTCAAAGCCTGCACATATGTGCAGAGAGCGCGACACATTCCGCTACCTCAACTAGGAACTGCGCCCATCGCCGACACTACATGTTATTGTGTTATATACCCTCAATTCTATTTAAATGTTCAATCTCTATGACTCTAATATGAAATTACAACCGAACAAATGTTAAAGTTTCAACAAAGAGCAATCAACAACATTTAAATTCGCCACACACTCTTACGGAAATTCAACAACAAATAATTCTTAATTGAGATTAAATTTGGACATCAGACAATTTACATGATAGAAATATTCATCAACAAAATATTTACATGACCAAACTTAGCAAAGATTTATAAAACAAAGATCAGGGGGTCTACTCTCGACTTGGGTGACATTTGTCACTGATGACAAAACTCATCATTTTCAAAGTCACTCATTTCCTTAATTGACGTACTCTCGACAATCGGTGAGATGACAAAATGCACTGACGCTTTTTCTCACCGAAACGATATGGCAACTGTGCAACAACTGTCAAATTAATTTGACAAGTTCTCATTTAAGTTTAAATACCCAAGCATAAACTGAAAAATGAAAGTGAGTGAAGACCAAAAAAGCTGTTTAATCGAGTTTATGCAGCGTAATGCCAAATTGCTGTCGGGAAAATTTTCCTCTGAATTCACAAAAGTGGACGCACGGAATTTGTGGATGAAATTGGCAGAGGAATTAAACAGCTTGCCGGGTCCAGGACGTGACTGGAAATCTTGGCGAAAGGTGTGAATAACACTAAAACAAAATATTGGTTGGTATATTTTATTTGTATTTTAGACGTGGCAAGATCTGCGCATGCGGACGAAACAAAAAGCTGCAAAAAATTTAAAAGAAACAAAAAAAACTGGGGGCGGTACTGCAGATATCCAACCGTTAAATCGTTTGGAAAAAGATATTGCCACTTTAATATCACCCATGGCTATCAGGGGCCTTAATGTGCCACAGCCAGTAGTGACGTGGGGGTCGACAGAGACACCGTCTCACGAAATTTCAAGTAATGAGCCTTCAACATCTGCTGATGTACGTTTTCACGTATCGCCACCAATTAGCCCTTCGTCTGTTAATAGTTGTGATGGCTTTAGAACAGAAAATTCCTACTCGCCTCCTACTAGCCATCGCAAATTGCCCTCGAAGTCCCAAACAGCACCAACACCGGTGACTAATGTCCCTGTTGTTTCTAAAAGGCAGAAACGTTTACGGGCAAGCCACGACGAGTATGCTAGCTATCTCAAAAAAAAGCTTGAAATTAAAGAAGGTTATTATAAAGAAAAGTTGGAGGTTTTAAGAAACCAATCAAAGGAGGTACAAAGTATCGCTGCAGCACTGAATAATATTGCAAATGCATTACTTACTTTGAAACCGTAATTTTTGTTTACTTGTTGAAGAATAGAATTTTGTTGTTATTATCAATAATAATTTGAAAATTAAGTATAATGAATTAGTTTTTGGGGTTTATTGAAATCTAGCTCGAATCAAACGAGCACGGGTATTCCTTCCCGCCACTAATTCTGGATTAATGCGTCCTTGTGCTCTTTCGTTTTCTTCCAATGGTGGAGCTTGAATTAAACCTAAACAAATTCTTGTTAGTTCCCACTGATCAACGAATATTCCCTGCTTCACCGTCATTCACATCTATTACTTCTTCATCCTCGGGTACAGGCATGTGGTGGTCTGTGCACAAATTGTGAAGAACAGCACATGCGTTTATTATTTTACACGCCATTTCTGGCTTGTAGTGCAGCACTCGATCTTTAAGGCAACATCTAAATCTGGCCTTCAGTATCCCATTACATCTTTCAATTATACTCCTAACACTTTTGTGAGCCACGTTGTACCTGTATTCAGGTGTATCAGGAGCTGGCTCATAATTAAATGATGTTAGTAGCCATGGTCGGAGAGGATAACCTGAATCACCTACAACATAGAATTAAGTACTTTAATTAAAATGGATCATTTTTACTAGCTGAGTTACACACCTAACAAATAATAATTTGATCGTCCCTCACCGTGGATTTGCCTCATCACCCTTTCGACCTCACAATTGGTCCAAATGAAAGAATCATGCGTATTGCCGGCATGAGCTGCTACAATATTCAAAATTTTTGCATTCGAGTCACAAATCTAAAAATATTTCTGAGATGATTTCATTTCTACCATAAAATATTGCTTTACCAATTGTACGTTAATAGAATGGTATCCTTTTCTGTTTACGAAAGCCCTTTCTGGCATTTCAGGATTATTACCTGGAGGAGGTACTATTGCAACGTGAGTGCAATCTATGCATCCTACCACTCCAGGAAAACCAAATTTTTCGTAAAATCTATAGGAATGCCGGTAATGGGTTGGTTGGGAAGAAATATTACCTACTACAATACTTTCGTCTGCAACTATTCAATTCTTGAATATCTTGAGGAAATTTGATAAATCTATTCAGAATCTGTGGTCTGTTCAAAGCATCTGTAACTTCTTTTATAGAACGACTGACGCTTTGTTGAGATATGGAGACAAACTTATTGACACCAATATCCGTTTGATAACTCCCTCCGGCATAAAACCGTAAAGCAGCCAACACCTAAAATAATAGTACCATATTTATACTGATTTCATATGAATTTAGATTATATTCTTAGATGTTGTAAATAGTTAAAATTTTTAGTTACACGCGTGTTTATAGCCAAATCTTTACCACGATTTTGAGGACGCATAAATGGAGCAAGTAACCCCACAATAAATCTAAATAAAATTTTTGACACCCTAAAGATTTTAACAAATTGATTTTCCGGTAATGTCTCCAACGGATCAATTGTAACCCGTAAAGCTGGAACAATTGCATTATCTTCTTCAGCATCTTCCAGTTCTTCTAAAATATCGGCCATGTGAAGTTCATCCATTTTATATTGGGTAAATGGTTTTTTAAAAGAAAAAAAATCCATTTAGAAAAATAGAAGAAACATATGTAAAAAATGTTTATAAATGTGGGTACTTTTTATTTGCTGCCGCCTTGAGATGTACTTCTGAAAATGTTTTGATTTACAAGAATACTAAAATTTATAAATTAGAAAATAATTCAATCAAAAAATTTTAGTAAACCTACCTCCCATTTACACTATTAACACATGTATAAAAGCTTTGGTACAAAAGTCACCACTGTTTTTCTGATCGTTGCCACTCACTGATTTGTGAACGGCTTTTATCGTGTGTGACAAATTTCTCACTTGTCAGGAGTACGTCAGTCATAAAAATAAGTCACTTGATGATAGAACTCACACACGTTTTTTCTCACGTATCAAGAGTACGATGTCACTAAAACTCGGTGACATATGTCACGAAGTGACAAAACTCATCGGTGAGTTTTGTCAGGAGTAAGGTCCCTGGTGTGAAATAAACTTGTGCAAATAAAATATCCTGTTAGGTCAAAATTGCAGAGCATGGAAATTTACGTTCAATTCAAATTATACAACAAGGAAAATTACTGAGGCTAAAATTGTGAGATAAAGACAAATTGCATGAGGTGAAAGATTGTAAAGTTAACAGATTTACATGTGATTAATATTAATTCGTGTCCAGTCAAGTTATTGGTTAAAATTCAAACGTGAAATTATTTAGCTGCATTGTGGGCCATTATTACACATACATTTCCCCAAACAAAACACATAAACAAACATGGCAGACAATCTGCAGTTGCAAAATGGCGTTGGACGAATTCGTCATTCCAAATAATAGGCGTCGAAAATATGCGATGCAAAAATACGATGAATCCTGTGGCGTTGTATAAACGATGGGCTAAATAAAAGGAATAAAAGGCACGTCCCCCCATGACCCACAATGTTGTTAATTTTGTTCAATAGATTCAGTTAAAACATGTGCTCGTTTAAAAGAAAGAAAATGGACGCTTCAAAATGGCTGCTGCCTGAACAAAGAACGGTGAAAATAACAACTCGTTTGCCGCCATCCAAAATACAGATTTCACAAATATAGCTAAATAAAGCATGGCCCGAACTAGAAATCACTTCCTGTAAAGCCCTACTGCGATGGATTTTTAAATGAAAGGTAAAAAAACGAGATTAGTGGAAAAAGGCGCACGCGTCGCTGTGTCACGAGGTCAGAAGCATCGTCGGGGCTTGAAACTCGCCGCGAAACGGGTCCCGGTCGAAAACGTGTTCAAAACATACCTCTCCAAAGATGCGAAGATTTCGACACGGCTTACCGCCAACAGGAACACAAAAACCTCGTCGTAAGAACGATGAGAAATCAGGAACACCCAATGGCTCAACGGGGGCTGCTAGGTTTTCCAATGGAACTGGAAACGCAAAAACAACAGCAAAAGGCACAGGATAATTCACAATTAAAAATACAACCTGTTGCTCGAAGCGCTCGAAAAGAAGTCGACCGTTCTCTCCAAGCGATCAAAGCGAAGTGGCCGGTTTTACCCGAGACAAAACCACCCGCTTTGCGCACGCCTGTTTCCTTGGGGTGGTTGGTTGCCAACCTCTCCTTCTTCTCACTAACCGTTTCTTGTGCGCGCGGAATTCATTTGAAATTTAAAAATTCGAATTGGATCCTTACAATACATCTACCTATTTATTAAAATTGACACATTTGCTTCCAATAACAAGTTGATGACGTTATCATAAAATTTTTAATAAGAAAATCTCACTTAAAAAAGGCATTTTTATTTTAATACAGGAAGTATAAAAAAAATTAATACATATAGAAAATTAGCTAAAATTGTTTAATGGATTCTCTTTCAGGGACGCGAGTACTTTTCTTTAAATAATTCTAGATCATTTCTTATATATGCTCGGCAAAATATTGACCCAAGTTAAGTTCTTTCGCACACTAGCATCTTCAAAATATTTCTAATTGCTACATTGTGAATTGTACTGTTGATTGACTAACAGCCACCTTAATAGCAAAGTCACAGATTACGGATACCAGATAGTTCACTCAGCTGTCGGCACTTTGAAGTCGGTGTCCCGAGATTTCAAGCGGTATTCACGCTACTACGCACGCTCTACCAAAATTGGTTCGCAAGCTTTGAATTTAAAAGCGCGGCGGTCAGAGAAAAATTACAGCGATGATGCAAGGGATGAGGTTCTAAGTGAAGAAAAAACGAACAAAATACTTATTTGCCTTACACAAAATGATTTATGATTATTACAAATGCTTAATATTTCACAATTTCCTCTGAAAAGAATTGCGGACACATGCATCGGCATTAAAAAATTTTAGAGCGTAAAAAACACGTATTCTCGAATATAGTGCTAACAAGAAAGTGGTGTTAAAATTTTTGCATGGTGAATAAACGTAACCTCTTTAACTATACGGCTTAAAGGGTTACCGAAAGTTAGACGAATTGGAGGGAATAGTTAATGAAATTTGCTGCGCTTGCCTTTCTGAACTTTGTTGTTACAGTTTTCTAATCTACTCGTCTTTATAGTGATTTTCGATTTTTGGTGGTTATTTAAGACTGAAACGAGTTTAAAGGAAAAGAAGGGAAAATGTTTTATTCTCTTATTCATTTACAAAATCAGGGATTATACTTAGACAAGATATATTTACTAAACGATACTATAATACAGTTTAATGCAGGTAGGTATTTATTTAACTAATTTTCTGATTATTTTAAAACTTTTAAAAAATCCCTTCGTAACCAAAAAACGTAGAAATTAATCCTTGTAATGTTATTTATTCCCTGAATTATTACCTAAACTTTTATTCTTATATCTGCTTCATTGTAAATATTATTTTGCGTGTTAATCTGTCGAACCAGTTTCAAAGAGATTTAAAAGTGCTGAACCAATTTTAGTGTCATGCGCACGGAAAATTTGCGGACAGTTACGCCCACAAGTGAACCATCTGGTATCCGTAATCTGTGGCAAAGTGTAAGTAATTAATTTTGTTGCACCAAATTTCTTCAATTTTAATTGAGTTTTTATTATAAAAGAGTACGGTATTTTCAACAACAAACTAACTAACTAAAAATTTCAGTGATTCCAAACAAACCACCATTATGAACATGTTAAGATTTTAGTGTGTTTTGATATTTTTTGATTCTTATTTTTAAAACGTTTTCAAATCAGATATCAGTATTTGGTATGCAATCAACTATACACGTACAGTTGAAAAAAGTGACAGCAGTTTATGGACATGTTTCTTTCCTCAAGTGGTTAAATCTGGAATCCATTGGTAATAATTTGTGCTAAATCTTCGATAAAAACTAAAGATGCAGTACAGAAAGTATAGAATAACCTAGAAAAGTTATAGATAATGGATCTAAAACCATATTATTTATCAAAAAATCGATGAAAGTTAAATGGAGCGCTCGATGTTCTTCGTTGACGTTTCTCCTTTTGACAGTTTGTTTGACATATGCTTTTGGTACCTATTTGCCATTTTTCTCGATTATTTATAAATTGCGCAACGAAAAACAAAGGTAAACAGTATTAACGAATTACACGTGCGGTTAAGTACCTTGCAATTGTATTTTTAGAAAATGACACGGTTTACTTTGTCAATAAGTGTGCCATTTTTAATTGCTTGCAGATGCCTCCGCGGAAAGGTCGCGTTAAGAAGGAGGGCCCCGAGTCGGGGGAAGATTCTGACGAGTACAGGAAGAAACGAGACCGGAACAATCTGGTAAACGCGTATTTGTTGCTTTACGCTTGTTAACAGTTGTTTGCAGGCGGTGAAGCGGAGTCGAGTCAAGTCGAAGCAAAAAACGCAGGAGACCCTCAATAGGGTCACGATGTTGAGGAACGAGAACACGGTTCTGGAGGAGAAGGTGAAGACGTTGACTAAGGAGTTGGGATTTTTGAAGGAGTTGTTTATTGCCCATGCGGCTAATAACGTGGATTCATCAAAGTTCGAAGGGGTTGATTTGCAGAGGCTGTTAGAGGAAGATACAAGTGCAGAGACTAGTGGTGATAATAAGTAAGGGAGGGGCTGTTTGTTTGTATTAAGGGGAACAAAGTACAATTTTTGTTGAGAGCTTACTGAAATTTATTTTGTAAGGTAGTAGTACTTTTTATCGTTTGTTTTTTTTTTTATATGTATTGAGGAAGTTTCAAAGGATTTTATCAGTTAGATTGAAACTTTGAAGTGTTAATATTTTAACAAATGGGTGCATTATATTTGGATTTTAAGTTATTAAAATTGTCCACATTTTGGTGGACCATTGTATTATGATGTGTGATTATTCTCTATTGTATAATGAAAATAAAATTATTTTAATAACTGAAAAATAATTTTTTGTTGACGAAATATTGGATAGATTCTGTGTTTAAAATCTATGGAATGTAGAGCTGACTGTGACTAATGCACAGTATGCTATTGGTACATAGATGTTAAATTAAGTTAAGTAGAGTATAAGGTTAAAATCTATGTATTGGTATAACTGGGCTGCTGTCAAAATAACATGACATTCTGTGCGATTCTGTTTGTACTTTGTTATTACTTAACGATCTTTATTGTAACAATTTGTTGTTGTATAACGATTTTGAAAAAAGATGTTATTCTGTTTGCCAAAATTTAAGGATATGAAATGTCACTTTAACAAACGTCTGTGAATTATTATCGTTAAGTCAACTCTTGTTAAAAGGTTCCCTTAAAGTCATAACGATTGATATTTTGCCAAAAATTTTTTGAAAGTTATTGAATTGGACACAGTTCTTTGAAAATAAATCTTTATGGAATGTACTTCCATCTAAATTTTGGCGACAATCTAAGAAACATTGTGAATCATTAAGTAATTTCATAAGGAAATTCGGTTTCTAATAACCTTCTTATTCATAGAAGCCATGAACATTTGAGATATAGACGCATCCGGGATTGATTACCAAAATCTGTTCGAGATACCAACAGATAGATTTTTACGATTGTTTTGTTTACAAAAACTTGAAGCATAATTTTTAATTGAGGCTTTAAATGAATCTGATAATAACGAAGGAGTAAGACGAGACAAAATTCATTTTTATCTGCAAGTTTTCATATCATTACATTTTTTGGACAAGGCAGTTTTCAAACTGGAATTGTCACAGGTATGAATCTTGAAGTGAGTCAATCAATAAATTATAATAGTAAATAATTAACTAATAAATTATTAGGAGAATATTTACTGCACATCTTTTCCGCGATATGTAAAATATTGCTCCATTCTCAACCGCATTTAAGTTTGTTTTGAAAAATTCCATTTTTCGTCCACCTTTCTTACATCATTAGGATTAATTTTCGGGGAAGTCATAATTTGTTGTAATGACAAGTACAACTCATCATATTATGCACATTTTGGGTAGAATTTATTCGGCAAAATTTTGAGATGACATCATCAGTTTGGGGGGGGGGGGGGATAAACAGATATATTTTGATTATCAATTTACCATGCTTACAATAACTTTTAAGTGTCTGCAAGATTTTAAAGTATTCAGTTTTGCGATTCTTGATTTATTCAATAAAACAAATTGACTGATTTATTTATTTTTTTGAGTCACCGTGTATAAGTGAATCTAAAAATTATGAATGCAATGATATAATTACAGTATAGACTGATTATATTTTGCACATGTTAGATAAGATTTTTCAGCAAAATTGTGAGGTGACGTCATCAATTTTTTAGGGGGAATGAGCAAATACATTTTGATCAAAAAATCACCAAAAGCAAATTCAAAAAATATAAATGGAATGATAAATCACAAGTACAGACTCATCATATTTTATACATTTAAGATAGGATTTATTCGGTAAAATTTTGAGCTGACGCCATCAATTTTGTGGAGAGGATAAGATTAAAAATGTATCATGCTTATCATAACTTTAAAGCATCTGCAAGATTTCAAAGCATTTGGTTTTGCAGATTCAAAATTAAATTGCAAAATGTTGTTTTATAATTTTAATTTTTTTCCAAAAATCTGGACGTTTCGGGTAAAAATTCAACACGGAGTCATAAACTAAATGTTTAGGACTATGTTATTTTATACAATTTAAAATCCATTTACTATGTACAATTTTGAAGTAACGTCATCACATTATTGGTGGGGATGATTAGACAAATTTTGATTAGCGTTTCACCATCTACATGATATCCCTATAATATAAATACAAAATTTGACAACAATCGGCCCAATACTTTTGGAGATTCTGTCTAATAAAAATCGGGACGGCAGACCGACGGACAGACAGACGGAAACAGGAAACCTATTTCTTCGTACTCTAAGGGTCATGAAAGGTCGAGAAAACTTAAAAGTAGAAAGTCGGCCAACGGACTCGATTACAATACTTCCCTCGCTTACGCTCGGGAAGTAGTAATATTATGAATTATGAATAAATAATATTAACGAATTTTTAAACTTTTTTATGTCATTTTTATACTTATGATGATATCTTAAATCGCTTATTGTTGCTTTACAGATGTCGTAATAACCGCTAACATGTAAAATAACTAAAAATAATCTATTATCTTGAAAAAGTGTGGAAAATTACCTGTGCCTGGAATTGGAAAGACAGGAACTTAACCTATGTGCTAGACGAGGATACTTACTACAAGAATTGGAATTTCTTTAACGTATGCTTGGTACCAATGACGAAACTGTAAAAAAAATGCAGCTTAATGACAAGTATACAGGATTCCCATAGTCGCAACAAAAAGTACTTGCTGGTATGGTAAAACCCCGGAAAGCAAGGAAGACACAGATACATTTCTGTTTAAAAAATTTACTAAATGCCACACATGTATAAGATCCATTCACATTACATATTGTTATGGGCTGATGCAATTTTAATATCGTTTGCATTTTTTATCAATGAAGAAAATAGATATATCAAAGTATTGTAAGTAAGAACTGACTATGATTGCACATGAAGATCCAGAAATAATCCAGAACTTAGTATATGTATAGTTTTTCACTGGAGCAATTTACAATATTAAACTAGTTATCACAAATCAGACTATTGTGACAACATTAATTAAGAAATTATGTAAGAATAAGATATTTATTACCATCAGTTTCTTTGAAATAGAACGGTTTACGTAAACCGACCATGTTCGACACCCTTGACACTACCATTAACACGAAGACTCCACGGTTTCCGCATTTACCAACAACTCATCCCATTTACAATCTTTTCTGCAGTGTTACCAATTTCGGCTTCGGCACGTAATAAAGTATAAATATTTATCGGTTTCTTGTTCTTCCTGCTTGCAGCTACAAAATCGGTTTATGCCTTTGGAGCTTTCGTGGCTTGCATAATCGATGTTCCGATCTCAAAATATAAACACGAAATACTTTCCGACTGTCACGCAGCTGGTGTTTAATTAAATCATATCATAATCATTGTTTAGGATACCCAAGGGAACCGGTTACATTGGTGCTAATGGGTGGAAGAATTTGGCGAAATGAGTGCAATTTTCGTAAGAATTATAATTATTGTAGTGAAATAGTAAGTAATTGACGATGGTTCCCACTAAAACAGATTCGTATTCTGAATGATTGAAGTGTGGTCTCATAAGAACTTGCAAAATGTGGTGAAGGTGTTGAGCAAACTGGAAAATGGGTTCTAGAGTTAAAGTTAAATTCGAAGTAAAGTGGGTATTAATTTTAGTTTATGTTTGGTGAAACATTCTGTATAATTCTTATAGGGTGTCTCACCTGTCTGATAATGTAGTTTATGGACGACGTGCGTTCGAGGTAGAATTTATTTAAATATATAAATTAAAATTCATTTCCTCTATAATGGTGTTCTAGTTAAGTTATGGGATATTTCTCCGCCATTAGTACCATGAGTAAAAATATATATCATAAACAAAAATAAACTTATAATATTTTGTACAATAAAAAATAATTTGATATTGTGTTTTTCAGTAAGATTTTTTATAAAGTCTTTTCCCCAATGACAATTTTCACCGCTTGGTTTGTAATATATAAAAGCTGCCTTTTCATGCTCTGGAAGAATATTGCTTCTGATTAAAAATCATGATCTATGACAACATAATGACGGGGCATTTTGTTATAATGAATTGATCTGCATATTGATAGTGATCTTAGCTATTGGTACAATGGATTGCATGCACTCTACACTTTGTTATAACATTTAAGTGGTGCATACGATGGCTACAGGTAACAGTCGTGATGACTGACCCATCATATTTAAAGTAGGTATTCAGGAATATCAGTTATTTGCATACAACTTTTTAAATTATGATTGCGTTAGTAAATCAGAGTATGAGGATAACTAATATAGATGTTTTTGGTTAAATATAGTTTTTTAAACTCGTCACTGGAGGATTACTTAGTTGGGGAGTGGAGCAGGAAATGAAATAGATGTGGATTTATCCACCTTTTTCGTACATAAATGTTGGTAACTTTTATGAAAGGAATTGTTTTATGTCGCTAGGATGGCATTCTGACCCATTTTGGCGTAGCGAGTAAAGGTGTCGGTCGACCTAGGAGTTGGAATCCGAAAATAGTTGCGCGAATGCGAAAACTGTCGCAGGTTCGATTCCGCCTTATGAGCCTTTCTTTTCTTCTTACGCTGTTATTGCTATTACCTCTATATATCTTTATGTATAGAAGTTATCGCAGATAAAATGTAACAAAACCAAATTGTAAAATTTTTAAAGAAGCGGTTTTTGTTGAATTGTACTGACGGAGCAAGAGAAGTTCTGTCGACTAATTTTTTTAAGCGCAGTAAGTATTGACGGGTCAGCTAAAATTCTTTAGGAATAAGTTAACCATCCTTTTCCGCACTAAGTAAGGGAAGTAAAATATAGGTAAGTAAATTTCAAAGATTTATTAATTAATGATTACAACTATGTATATTAAAGGTAAAAGAACAATTTATATAGTTATTTTTTCTCATTGTTTTCGTTTCGATCTTTGTCTTCTGTGGTCTTCATCTCAAACACTTTGCTAACATTTGCTTCCTCCTCTTCTGGATTGTTCAGGTCCAACTTTTTTCTTTTTCGTTAAAATACCTAGGCCAATACAACTACTTCTAAAACTTTCTTTACTTGGTTCTCATTGCACCATTCCCAAAATTCCTTATAAGCCTTCTCATATCGGTTCTTGGATTTTGTGCATATTAAGTCTTGAATTGCAGTCTCTGCTTCAACAATTATATCTGAAGGAACATAATCGCTGGAGGAATCTTTGTTTTCCATCTTCAGTGGAACACACAGAACACAACACGATTAGGTATTACTGACAAATATTTTGCGAAAAACTTGTTTGTGTTTAAACAATTGCGTTTGAAC